TATGCAGAAGAATAAGAAGCGAAAGGTAAGGCCTCAAACCTGAACCACTGAAGGAAGATTAAAATCCTATGGTCCTATTATCCAGCAAGAAAAAGAAACAAAAAACCGATGCATGCCACATACCTTGAAAACCAGCTAATGAGAGGAGCCATGTCATTAAGGAACGCATATGATATGACCCCACTTATGCAAAATATCAAGAACTGACAAATCAATGGAGAAAGAAAGTCCATTTGCCGTTTCCAAGGGCTGGGAGAAGGTCAAGGGATTGGAAGATGACGGCTAACGAGTGTGAGGTTTCTTTCAGAGTGAGACAATGTCCTAAAGTTGGTTATAGTGATGGATGCACAACTCTATGAAGATACTAAAAGTCATTGAATTGTACACTTCATATAGGTGAATTATATAGTATATTATTTATAATTAAGCTGTTAAAATGGGGAAAAAAAAACAACTTCAAAACCTAAGGACCTAAAATTTTGATCAAAGAGTCGATTAAAGAATCTTTGATCAAAAGGATGGAAATGCAGAACAGAATTTAATATTCTTATTGAATCCAGACTTTCTAAAACAGCGGTTCTCAACCTGTAGGTCGAGACCCCCTTGGGGGTCGACTGACCCTTTTACAGGGGTCACCCAATTCATAACAGTAACAAAATTAATTATGAAATAGCAGTGAAAATAATTTAATGGTTGGGAGTCACCACAACTTGAGGAACTATGAAAGGGTCCTAGCATTAGGAAGGTTGAGAACCACTGCCCTAGAACCACAGAGGCTGGGTGAACCTGACACAGTCGCCCTGAGATCTTTAAACCTTAAACCCCAAATTTCCCCTACAATGCTTACCTTACTTTGTAAAGAAGGTCTGCCTTGAGGACTGTGCTCTTTTTAAAGAGAACAAATTGACAACAGGAACTAGAGAGGTTAAGAGAAAAAAACTGGGGGGGCAGCAGTGAGCTCATGTTAATGGAGGAGTAATTCAGAGGAGGGTGAGAATTGTTGCACACTTTAAGAATGTAATCACTATCGCTGGTGTATGGTTAGCTGTGCACTTTCAACAACAAAATAATGTACTTAAAAAAACAAACAAACTCAAGGGCCTATAGACCAGTTGGGAAGGAGGAATGAGAATAGGGCTTGGAACTTCAAAGCACAGACCCCCAAAATACACATCCCTCCAAGTTAAGAGATTCCACTTACAACTTCTGCAGGGGGTGTGGGTGGAGCACAGGAAATTGAAGAGATTGGGACTTGCTTCAGAGTTGGATGAATCACTAGATCCATGTGTCCAATCTCCCTCAAGGCTACCCACTGTATGGACAGAGAAACTGAGGCCCAGAACAAGGCCTCACTAAGTCATACTACAGTTAAGTGCTGACACAAGACTCAAACCCCAGCTTGCCTGGGCAGAGGTCCCTCCCTGCTGGACAATGCTGGCTTCCCACTACCTAGCTAGCTACCCAATTCCAGAAAAGTCCAAGGAGTCGGCAGATTTTCTAAATGCCAAACAATGGGTCTTTGCTACCAGAGATGGGTCACAAAGGGTAGGCAAAGGCTCCTATAGGCTGAACCAAGATGGTCCTGGGGAAAAACAGTCCATCCTAGGAAAAAGGAAAAAAAACAGCCAAGGCTCAAGATGAGCAAGGTCAAGCATTAACACTCAATAACCCCGGGCACGGGTGAACTTCTGCACAAGAGGGGAAGTAACTTTTCTACAGCTATAAAGCAGCTAAAAGCAGGAGGCACGGAGGTCTGAACTCCAAAGCCCCACAAACCTCCTCACAAATAACCCCCTCCACATCATCCAACCCCAGTGGACTGTTCACTACATCACAGCTACCACCCCCCACCCCCACTCACTGTCCACCAACCCTGGCTGCCAGGGAAGGGAACAGTGGAGAAGAACCCAGTTCTTTCTCAAGACATCATCCTTTGTCACTTTCAGGTCCTGGGAGTTTTCGAGTTCTTAAAATGTCAAAGGCAAGTACCTATCTGACCGCTGTGGAAACTGAGGCCCAGAGAGTAGAGCCAGAGTTGAAAACCAGGTATCCTGGCTACAGTGATACCCCCAGCATCTTCAACGGATGGCCCACCTCAGCAAACGTGGCTCCTCTTAAAGAACTCTGAGGTACCCAAGCTCAGGATGCTTCTAAGCCATCCTTTCCACAGGGTAGGCTTTCAGCAAGGCAGTCATATCCGGGAAAGGAAATCCCTAAAATTACCACCTCCCCAGCACCGCAACCCCAGATTTACCAGAAGGGCTCCTAAAGGGAGTAGGGATACATTCACAGCATCGGGACAAACAGGAATCAGAAGAGGCACCAGACTCACCCTCCTAGCTTCCCCTCAACAAAATTCTCCTTTCCCAAAAGGCCCAATGGGATGGACTCGACTCTGAATGCACCCTCCCACCCGCAAAAACAGTTTAGGACTAAGACTGGGGCAAAGAATCTCCCCTCTTATCCTCAGACGGTCCCAAGTGAAAACAGCTGAGGCAGGAGGTAGAAAGAGAAGCATTCTCTTCCTCTCTTTGCTCTAAGAAGTGAGAGATCAGGTAGTTTCTCCTTCGTTGTTGGGAGGGTTCCCAAGCCAACCATTCGTACAGAGAAAGGTGGAAGGGAGGGACTCCAGCTCAGGAGATGCCTGGGAGGTATAAAGTGTTTACCAAGTCACCATACAGCACAGGACCTTCTTCCTCTCTGCCCCTGGGACCTGAGGTGTATCTTGCCCAGTTTCTTTTAGGGAGAACAGGCAGAATTTACCCCAGCCAAAGAAGAAACCATTCCTGGTCTTGATCCTGCGGGTCCAGATGAATTCCCTTACCAGAAGTAACAATGAGAGGTAGGAAGAGAACAAAGACAGAGGGTTCAAGACCAGGCACATATCAAACACATTAAATTTATTTACCTGCGCCAAAGGGGAAAGGAAAGTGGGCAGAGAATTTCCCTAGAGTGGAGATGTCCCAAACACTTCTCTGTCTGTGGGAAGGAAAAAAACTTGCCAAAAAGGCAGTTTAAGAGGCTTAGACTATACTTCACCGACCCTGGGAGTAAGTGGGAAGCAAGCATAGTTGGAGCAAGGACTTTTCATTCCCGAGAGAAGGGGCCTCAGGGTTGAGGGGACTCAAGGTATAGAATTCGTATGACCCTGAAGTGGCACTCAGGTCCTTCTGTGCAATAGGGGAGGCCTCAGGTCACCTTGAGGAGGACCTCATGTCCCTCTCCCTGGTGAAAAAGGCTCACCTAGCAGGGAGATTCGTGCTCAACAAAAGCTGAGTCTCTTGCCCCGGAAGAAAAGCTGGGGCTTCTGGGAAGAGGCTCAAATCTTTGCCTCAACATCCTACCCTGTCCACGTCACCAAGGAGGAGTGGTGGTGTTTTTCTTCAGGACTCATTTCAGCCTGGGGATGGCTTAGGCCCAAGTCCCCAAAGCAGAAAATCTTATGTCTCCAAGGGTCTCAAAGTGGGAGAGGCATCTCAAACATCTGAAGGGAAGTTCACACCCATGGGAGGAGACTCTACGCCCCTAGGGGAAAGGGTGTCTCCTGTTCCTGAGGGGAACTTCAAGTTCCTTGAGAGCTAAGGTCATACCTTGTCTGTAGACACATCCATCACAGGGATAGCTATGACCCTTCTCACCCTGGGGGAAAAAGCTCAAGTCTCTGTGTGTGGTGGGGGGGTTTCTCAGGCCTCTGACCCTAAATGAAGAGGAACTTAGGCTCTTGGGAGATTCATGGGGAAGCTTTAAGTACCATCCCTGAGACTTCATGCTGTATATATCCCTTGAAGAGTGACCTCAAGGCAGGGGTCTCCTATCCCTACCTATAACCTCAGGCCCTTGGGGGAGAGAACTTCAGGCTCCTGTTAATTGGGGGAATGGAGGCAGGGGGTAATATCCCTATAGTGTGTTTCAGTCCCTTATAATTGGGGGAAAGAGACTCATGTAGATACCAATCCTTGAGGACAAAGGTGCCCCGAAGAGACCTGGCCTTAAAAAAACACCCAGTCCATAAGCAGGAATGCCTTATGCCCCAGGAGCCAAAACAGTGTAGGGACAGGGGACGAGGGGCCTATCCCTTAAAAGAAGCTTAAGCTCCTGCTGGAGAGACTCGGACCTTTGTACACAAGCAAGGAGGTCTCAAGCCATTGAGGGTAAGCACAGATCCTTGTCACTCAAGGGATGAGTCTCATGGGCCTGAGTAGTCTTAACTCCTGGGGGTAGGTTTTGGCCCTTGACCTCACAGGAGATCTCATCTCTCTTCAAGGACACGGCTTAAATCCCAGCTCAGATGCTTACCTCCAGCGGGCACTTTATATGTCAGGTTGAGAAGCCCATTGCTTGGTGAGCCCGTGCCTCATTCCCCTGCAGAAAGTAACTTACTCCATGCAGTGTGTCTCAGGCCCCTGAACCTGTTTAGATCCTCTGAAAATGCTCAGAACCTTTTGTGGGTCCCCTAGAGGAGAAGTTGGTGCACAGATGGAGCAGTGGCTGCTCAGATTTGAACCCCCCAGCCACTCCCCTGGACAGTCTGCTACCATAATGATTTAAGCCCTGGAAAACCCTCCTGGCACTTTTGCTCAGTCACTAAGAGTTAAGAATCACCATCAACCATTTCCAGGCAGTGAGTTCGAGGGGGTATCTCAGGCTCCAATTCGAGAGGAAAAAGGAGCTCAATCCCTTGAACACACACTTCGGTTCCCCACCCCCACCTGATCGTCTCTCCTTTGGAGGGACACCATGAGGTCCCTGGATGCGGAATTACTACTACTCTGGGTCTCAGAAAGGGCCTCGGATCCAATCTTTAAGTCCCCCACCACCTCTGGAGGCACTAATTCCAGTCCCAGCGTAAAAGGTGTAACACGTTCCTTCCAAAGAAAGGATTGTCAGGCCGCAAAAGGCCTAAGTCCCTTGGCATTTTTTTCAAACAGCATTCCTTGGGTCCCTGGCCAATGTGAGGAGCCCACCTACCACACCACCCTTCTTTCCTCTTGGCACCTTACCTGCTCAACAGTGGCAGGGTCCATGGCCTCAATGCGCGCTGCAGCAGTTTCATACTCATCCTCGCTGTTGTAGCCCGCACCGACCTCCTCCCGCTCAGGACTACCGCCGCCAACCGCGCCAACCCCGGGGGCTTGGCGGCGCCGCTTGCTGTGCCCCGGCCCAGAGCAGCAGCTGCCCACACCTACAGTACCACCCACGCCCACCACCACACCCGTTGCACCCACACCCGCCGCCGAGGCTCCCAGCGCGTCACCCGGACCACCTCCGGGGCCTCCAGGGCCTCCACATGGAGGTGGAGAGGCCTGTTGCGGTCGAGGACCTGCCACTGCGCCCGGGGGTACGGTCAGCGCCCAGCGGTGAAGTGCTCCTGGTGGTCCTGGTAGCGGACCCTGGGGCGGTGGTGAGGCCCGGGAACGAGCCCCGACGACGCCCGAGTCACGATCGCGGTCACCGCCGCCCACGCCCGGGCCGCCGCCGCCGCCCACGCCCACACCCCCGCCGCGGCGCGGCGCCGGGGGCAGTGGGCCGGGCGGCGGCGACTCGTTGGTGGTGTCGGCGTCGGGAGGAGGCGGCTTCTTTTTGGGGAGAATAGTCATGGCGGTAGCGCCGAGCAGCCCCCAGCAAACCCGGCGCGAGGCACGCTGGGAGAGAGCCCGGATGAGGCGGGGGGAGGGGGGTGTTGGCTACTGTGGTGCGCTAAGCACGTCGGGAACGGCAGAACCCGGATAAAAGGTTTGAGAATCCTCGGCGGCGCACAGATCACGCGGGGTGGGGGGAGAATCTGGATGCGAAGCCCAAGACGAAGAAGGTACCGTAGCGAGTTTCTCGCAGCCTTCTGTCGAAGTCCAGCAAAATTCGATATGTCCCTTCCGGCCTTCTGCTCCGAACCAAAACAAGCACCTCTTCGCCCCGCCTCCTGGCGGGTTCTGAAACTCCCGGGTGGGGCCCGGCGCCGCAGCGCACGCACGCCAGCACGGCCCCGCCCTCCCGCTCGGAAGTACGTGGGTAAAATCGCCGCCGCCGCCACAACAATTGAAAGCACCAACCAATCAAAGCAGCTGCGCCGAGCCTTGCTGATGTCCACGGACCAATCAGGAGCAAGCGCTTACCCTCTCGTGCCCTCCACCTTAGATACCAGAAAAAGTCGATACCCTTGTTTCCTGCCTTTCTTTTCGTTGGCCGATCCTGGTCTTCACTTCTTCCCGGAGGCTCTGACTTGCAGCGTGGGTAACTGCAAAAGGCTTGCGCGGCCTACTCCTCGCACAATCGGAGCTCCTCCCCTCCACGCTTCCAATTTGGACGCAGTCAGCTGGACTGACTGGAAAATAGCAACACTTCTAGAGCATAGCATTCCCTAGTAGCGTCAGTTCCGGTCCCGCCCACCTGCAAATCCCCTGGAGCAGAGAGGCGGGTGCAGCTTCGTCCTGGCAACAGACCGATTTTTGCGCTGATTGGTATTGGTTCAGAGGCCATCACTAACGCTGGAAGGGCCAACCGTGGGACAGATACATTCTGTGGGTGTTTGGGAAGCAAACACGCCTTCTTTGGCACCACCACACACTCGCCCTCACGTTGACCTCCCTGTTCCAATAGCTAGTGCGCAAGCTTTTTTTCTGTTTCCTGGGTCTAGCACTAGAAGAAAGGTTCACTGTGGGAACCAACCAGCCGCTCTGCAGAACAAAGATGTGTTAGTCAAACATTTACAGCCACGGAAACGATGAGGGCAGTTCTGTTCTCTCCTATAGGATTGCTGTGAATCTGGATTAACTCAAGCGCACACAACAGGTGAAATTTTCACAAAACAGCTCTGTCACCAGCCAGCATCTGGCAATGGAGTTTACAAAGTTCTTGCTTTTGAGTGGCTGGATTGCTGAAAGCTAATCCAACCTCGGCCCTTACTTCTGGATGACCTTTGTCAAGTCATTTAACAACCACTCCCCTCCCCCCTCTAATTCCTGTGTCTCTGTAAAATGTCAATAACATCCCAAATTTCTCAAAATAACTATTAGAGATCAGTGCTTATTAAGAACATCATGTCATACCTGGCACATAAGTGGTGCACTGGGAAAATCCCCCCCAGCTTTGGAGTTAGGAAGACCTCTTCCAGGATTGGATGAACCATTATACCAGCTATGCAACCTTGACAAGTCAATTATGTCTTTTGCCCATGTGTAAAATGGGAATAACGCCTACCTAGACTCCTTCAAGAGGTAATTATGGGGCTCTCCAATGAGTTCATGAGCCAAAAAGGTGTTGTGAGAGGCGAGGGTTCACCGTCAGTCTAATAGCCAAGCCACACAACAAGGTTGGCGGAGAGACTGTTCTTTAGAAAGTTCTCTGGTTGCCACCCATCCGTCTCCCATTAGATTTCCCCTGAAGAGTGGCAGTAATCAATGGGCTCTAATGGATTTTCTACTCCCACAAACAGTTACAGCCTTGAAACCCATAGGGGCAGTTCTACCCCGTCATGTAGTGTCACTGAGTCAGAATGGACTCAATGGCAGTGAGTTTGGTTTGGTTTGAGTAGTGTATTCTGCTCATGAGAGTTAATGAGATAGGCGGATTCATGATTAGTAGACCTACTGTGTTCAGGAAACTGCCAAATGTCTATGTACTTTATCGCATTGGATCTTCTCACTGTTTGTCCAACACTACCCATCTAAAACTGAACTCAAGAACTCAATGTTCATGGCTAGCTTACTGTGTGACAGGCAATGTGTGCTAACAACTTTTATGTTCCCTTTGAAGGTCAATGGCCCATCCAGCTATTGCCCAAACCAGAAAGCTGAGAGCCAACTTTGACTATCCCCTTTTCTTCAATTACCATATGCCTCCCAAGTCCTGTCCATTCTACTGCCCAAATCCCTTGACTTTACTACACTACCCAGGTCTAAGTCACTATCACCTACCAACTGGCCTACCAAAAAAGCCTCCTCACTATTCTTCCTACATGCTGGACTATTTCTCCACATTCTCCACAGCCAGAATGATCCTTCGGAGGCAAACCTCATCATGATCTTTCCCCATGTCTAAGCCTTCAGAGGTCCCCCTTATCCTTAGGATGAAACCACAAATCAATATTCAATATTTCAAAACTTGGTGATCTGACCTTCCTCCATACTCTTACCCTCACTGCAGCTTTTCTCCCCCCCCCCCGCCAGCCAGACTGAACTTTCAGTTCCCCAAATGCCTCAGCATGCTCCCTAACCTCCACACCATTGCCATGCTGATCCCTCCACCCCAAACATTTTCACCGCGTTGTCTTTTGCCTGGTTAACTCCAACACACCCTTTATGTGTCAGCTAGGGTCTCCTGCCATCTACCTGCACATTGGTCTTAGTGCTACAACACGATATTGTGGCTCCTGCTGTTAGGTACCTGCACACCAGTTCAGACTCATAGTGATCCTATGTACAATAGAAGGAAACACTGCGTGGGCCTGTGCCAAGCACTATATTTTATTTGTTTAACTGTCTTCCTTCCATGTTCAACCCTGTAAGTCTGCGCCTCTCGGACTAGCATATGGTATACACTTAAATATTTGGTGAATAAATGAATGATTATCTCTGTTTTCTACATCAGCAAACCGAGGCACAAGAAGGTAAAAGCTTCTCTCACACAAGAATGGGAGCCCAGATCAGCTTGAATCCACAGTCTGTCTTCTTGGTCCACAAAGTTTAGTCACACACTAACCTAGTGAAGCAAGTACCTTGAGAGAGAATGAAGGGGGCTTTCCCACAGTAAGATTTCACCAAATGGAGAGATGCTTTTCAGTAGGGTTAAATTCAGAGCTGTTTACTGTCAGGAAGCCTGAGCTTAACTCTCCTCTAATCAATTATATGCTGCTCTGGGTCTTGGGTTCCACATCTGCGAATGAGGGAGCTGGATCAAATGAGGGCCAAAGGGCATGTCTCAGGACCTCTCAGCCTGCCTCATTGGCTGCAGATTAGATTTTTCAAACCACCCTCTTTCGTTTCTCCTGGATTGCAATCTTTCCGAACACAGCACCAACCATCTACCCTCCCACCCCAGACCTTTGCCCCAAATGGCCCTTCTGGAAAGGAATTGAAATCAGAATGTTTTCAACCCCTACCCAACCCCAGCCCAATCCAGTCCCCAAACCCCCAAATCCAGGTGGTGCTCAGTCCTCATCTCTTCTCTCAGGTTTTATTGACTGATGGAAACTACATCTTTGTCAGCCACCAGCTCCAAGGGGACAATGCGGAAGACAGGGAACCTGAGATGATGCCAGATTTCAGCCTGAGAGCAGACACAGAGTTCTAGAAGGTGACCCAAGAAGGAGAAGAGAAAGGAATATGTGAGAAGGAGTTGTGGGGGGAGAGGAGGAGGCGTTGAAGAAGTTTCTCCCACCTCCTACAACAACCGGAGTTCAGGAACAACCCAGGCCTCAGCCCCTAGTCGTTCTGGACTCCTGCCCAAGAGAATGGAACCATTCCCTGATCTCTAAGCACAGCCTAGCCCAGGATGGCTGGCAGGCATTTATCTCAGCCAGCCCAGACTCCAGCCCAACCCAGGCGAGAAGCAAACACGAGGAGAGGAGAGAAGGATGATTGGTTAGAGGTAGTCCCTCTGATTAGGGTAGATGTAGATGCTGCAGCAAACTGGGCAGAGGCTTTGCATAATGTCACGGCAGCAGCTGCTATTGCTAGAATTTGCTGGAGGCCCAGCAGAGGACAGGGTTGCAGGGATCCATTTCCAGCAGCTAGGGAAGGGGCTGGTGGTGTTTGTGCTATCTGTCTATGTTAGGCATGGCAGCTTGACCCCTCAGCCAAGGCCTGAGGGTGGCAGGTCAATGCTGAGGCCACAACCCATGAAACCTGTAGTTGCATTCCAAACTTCAGAGTCTGGGAGTTGTTGGACCTGAGATCAGAGGTAAGGGCACTCTTCTCTGAGGTTCCCAAACCTCCACAGCCCAGCCAGAGAGAAGAAGTTTGTGTTCTCCTTCTCAGGCCAGAGCTCGAGTAGCAGATGGGAGCTTTCCCTATCTCTGAAGGCTCAAGAGAAGCAGCATGCAGGAGGCCAGCTAGGAAAATCATCTGGGGCTGGGCACAGTTTTCCATTCCCTGGCTACTTCCCCACCGGGTGGGCCATTCCACGAAACTCCACTGCATAGTTCTTGGTGGGGGGCAAAAGGGGTCCCCAGGCCTGCTCCTCCCTGCTTCCCCAAAATATGGCTTTGGAAAGGAGTCCCCAAGAATTGAGAGGGCCCTCTGGAAGGGCAGGGCCCCCCCTCACAGGGAAGAGATCTTGACAGTCTCAGGGAGCAGGCAGGGGGTGCCCAGGCTGGAGTTCCTGAGGGTGCTACTGGCCCTGCCGCCGCCGCCGCCACTGCTGCCATCAGGGGAGGAAGGTTGAGTCTCATCTGGGGTGTTGGCCGGAGGGGTGGGGATACTGATAATGGCCGCCACGAAGTCCCGGCTGTCGCAGTTCAGGTCAAGGCTGTCATGGGGCTTGGCATTGAGGCTTGAACGGCTGTGGAGAAGATGGGAGGCTCATAAAATAGTATCTTCTCGGAATACATGGCACATCAATCATGGGAGCTATTGAGTTTCCCCTGGGTCCCAGCACCATGCTATGTGCTTGCCCTGCATCCTTGAGTATGGTAAGGTAGGGATCTTTGTAGTCCTTATGTCCCAGGCACCGTTTTGAGCCCTTTGTATGATTTATTATTATTGTACAATAACCCTATGAGTGTAGACACACCCCTGTCTTTGAACTTTTTGCACAGGCTGTCCCCTAGACCAGGGGTTGGCAAACTATTGACACAGAAGAGCCAAACTTGTCCCTTACAACAATTTAAAAATCATTCAAGAGGGATCTACTATAACCTCCTCCCTGGGGGACGGACAACAGAAAAGTGGGTGAAGGGAGACGTTGGACAGTGTAAGATATGACAAAATAATAATTTATAAATTATCAAGAGTTCATGAGGGAGGGGGAAGTGGGGAGGGAGGGGGAAAATGAGGAGTTGATGCCAAGGGTTTAAGTGGAGAGTAAATGTTTTGAGAATGATGAGGGCAACAAATGTACAAATGTGCTTTACACAATTGACGTATGTATGGATTGTGATAAGAGTTGTATGAGCCCCCACTAAAATGATTTAAAACAATAACAACAAAAAAATCATTCAAGAGCCATACATACATATAGCTTTTATTTTTTTCAGTTTTACTTCAGAGCCACATGTATGGACTGAAAGAGTCACATATAACCCTGAGACCCACAGTTGGCCAACCCCTGCTCTAGATCATGGCTCCCTCTCTGCCTCCCTCCCTTCTGGTCTCAGTTCAGATGTCCCCTCCATAAAGCCTTCGCTGACCACATTATTCAAATGGAACCACCCGCTGCTGTACACTCTCTAACCTGCATGTCTGATTTACTTGTCTCCTTGGTACTTACAAATGTTCAACATACTACACGAATCCGTGTTTCGTTTGTTACCTGTATGTTCTGTTCTAGTCTATTCTTTTTTAAAAATCATTTTATTGGGGGTTCATACAACTCCTTTTTTTCCCCCGTACAGCTCTTATCATCATCCATCCATCCATCCATCCATCCATCCATCCATCCATCCATCCATCCATCTATATGTCAAGCACATTTGTTGCCATTATCATTCTCAAAACATTTGCTTTCTATTTGAGCCCTTGGTATCAGTGCTTTATTCTTTTCTGCTTAATGCAAATATCAAGTGCCTAAAAACTATGCCTGGCATACAATAGGTGCCCAATAAGTATTTGTTGAAAGGACAAATGAAGAGCAAGGAGTTTAAGACAAGGGAAGCCCAAGCTCCCCATCTGGATGGGTTCAACTTTGATGTCGCAGACCCACTGATCCAAGCTCCAAGTTTTCCCAGGTGTGGCCAGCGGGTGGGAAAGGTACTGACCTCTGAGGGGCGGAGCTCCTCTGCAGTCCAGCCAATGTGTCCAGCTCCTGCATACTGCCGCGACTGACCGAGGCAGTGGAGTTGGCAAGGCGGATGGCGCGACGCTTGGCCCTGCGGGGGCAGCAAGAGGAAAGTAGATTGCTGGTCCCCACTGGCTGCGAAGACATGGAGGTGCTGCGGCTGGTGCGGCCACCCAGAGAGACAGCTCCTAGGGCCTCGCTGAAGGTCATCTCATCTGTGAACTCATAGCACTGTGCAGGCAAAAGAGAGACAGAGTCATAGGGCATGTCACGGAGCTGATCTCACCACCAGGCCTTGGTTCTCTGGACGTCTCGCTTTTCCCTTCCCTTGATATCGCTCCTTCAAGGCTCAGCTCTGTTGCGGCTTCTTCCAGGAATCCCTCTGTGATTTCCAGCAGTGTGCCTCCCTCCCCAAGAAGAAAGTTGGCTTTGGGTCACAAGGGGAGCCCCTTGACTAGGCCATGGCTGCCTCACCGTGCAATAAGCCTCACCGTTGTCTTCTCCAGACAATGCAGCAAGTGGTGGTGTTGCTGTTCAAAAGCAGAGCGGTTCCTGCCGCACAGTGCCTGTTCTTCCCCACGGCCACTTTCCTGGAGTGGCCAGAGCACAGAGAGAGGGTCAGCGCCTGCTTCCACCTGCCATTGCTCACTCCAGCCCCAATTTGGGCCCCTGCCCACCTCGAGTCCCCCGTTCTGCTTGTACTGCAGGAAAGCGTTGGTGGTGCCACTCTTTGCCAACCGGATCCTTGCCAAGCGCACTTTCTACAGCAAGAGGAGGAGATAGTCAGAGGAGTAAACACAAGCATGAACAAACTGGCTTGGGCTTAGGGAACAAGGAGGTATTCGGGTGGGAGGTGCAGTTACCTGCTGAGCTCGGCGCTTGTCTGCACGCTGGTTCTGGTGGTAGATGCGGCTAAAGTTGGACACAATCACTGGCACAGGCAGGGCAATGACCAAGACACCACTGAGTGAGCAGATGGAGCCAAAAATCTTGCCAGCAATGGTGCTGGGCACCATGTCTCCATAACTGGGGCAGGAGGAAGTAGTCCACAGTCAAGAAAAGGGCCCACCCACTTCTCGGTTCCCCCACGCCACCTCACCCTGGCCAGTCATTCAAACTTGCTTGGTTTGTTGCTCTGCAAAATGGGGGGGGGGAGGAGTCACCCCCATCTTCACTAGTGGAGGTCAAATGAGAAATGGGCCTGGCCCTCAGCCCCTACCATCTGCTGCCCCATCCAAGCTGAGCACTGGGGATCTGAGTCAGCTGGAACTCTATTAATACCAAGCACAGGGGAAGTCACAGGCAGTAAATATAGCCTCCTGGGGAGAGCGCCTCACCAACACAAGGCAGCTGAGGGGGCTCCGAGGCCTGGAAAGAGCATTCAGTTGGTTTTTGCCTGTTTCTGTCTTGCCTTCTCTAGCCATGACCTCTTCTTATTTCCCCAGGGGAAGACTTGGAAATGTTCTCATATGGAAAACACAGACAGAGAGGGGGGTCTTGAAACGCCTTCTCTCTACATGTCCCCATGCAGATGTAGCACATCCAGTGTTACAAACTTGTTTCATAGAGGGGGAAACTGAGACCCAGGGAGGTTCGTAGCAGATTTGCCCAGGACTACACAGCATACTTTTGTTCTGACCACAACACTAACCAGAACCCCGCTGCAGAAACGCAGGCTCATGGTCTCCAGTCTCTAGGCCTTTGCTCAGGTTGTGTCCTTCCTCTGGGACGACCCATCCTTATGTCTTTATTTTGACTCCTCTTGAGCCTTTAGGCTTAAAAATCTCTCCAACTTGGCTCTGTGATGTGTCATCCCAGAATGCGTCCCTAACTGTAAGGCCTGGGCAGCTGTCCGTCCTGACACTGAGGCCGTTCTTCTAACTCACAGAGAGGAAAAGGGCAACAGGAATCCAAAGACCCACTTCCAATGCCGTGTAAGGGAGCCCATCTTGAACTCCCCCCAGAATTCACTTCTACTCCTTAGAAACCCCAAATAAGTTTTCTATATCTCTTTTAAGGCGCTGAGTCAGGGCAGTCCTTCAGCAAAGATGGAGCCCCAACTGTATCCCTAACTGGGTGATGAAAAGTCAGTGGCGGATCAGGTACAGTAATGGCCCTAGACAATGTTTTTCAGAGCTCTATGCGTTTGTTGGTTCCTTTCAATACTTTTATTCCAATGTTTACTCTCCATAGATTGGGTAAAAAACCTAATGCTAAAAAAAGGGACCATCAAAGAATCCCAAAGCCACAGAGGTCATGCCCACACACTAGACAATGCCAAAGAGTTGGAAGACATGAATATTCAAGGTAGAAAAAGCAAAATTTCACAACCGTTGTGTCACCAACGAGCCTCAGCTTACGCAGGACAAACTGAGGTCCAGAGGAGAGGCGGGTAAAAAATAAAATAAATGGCATTCCTTGAACACAAGTCTTCTGACCTGGGAAATTCAGGTATTATCAGAGCTGGGAGGGATTTTGAGGTTAAGTCAATTCCCCCACTTTTTAAAGGTGAGCAAACTGAAGGTCAAAAAGCCAAAGGAGACCATTCATCTAACCTTAATTTGACAGAAAAGGTGAGTGTAGCTGACCAATGGGCAGCCTCGACACAGGGCCTGCACTCACCCCAACGTGGTCATGGTAACTATGGTATACCAGAAGGCTGCAGGGATGCTGGTAAAGTTGGTCTTGCTTGTGCCTTTCTCAGCATAGAACATGACCGTGGCGAAGATGATGATGGCCATGGTCAGGGAAAAGAGGAGGAAGCCCAGTTCCGAGGCGCAGCTCTTGAGTGTGTAGCCCAGAATCCGAAGACCCTGCGAATGCCGGGAGAACTTGAAGATGCGGAAGACGCGGAAGACGCGCAGGGTGACGAAGGCTCCTGAGACATCTTCGTTCTTGGGCATGAAAAGGCCAATGTAGTAGGGAAGGATCGCCACTACATCGATGAGGCTCATGACACTCCGCAGGAAGCGACAACGGCTGGGGGCGGCAAACAGCCGCAGGAGGTATTCGCCCGTGAAGATGAGCACACAGGCCGTGTCCATACAGAAGAAGGCCATGGGGAAGCGGTCGCCGCAGGGCAGCTCCTTTGGGGGCCGCAGCGCCATGCTCCGGCACGGGATGGTCTCCACCACGTTGGCAATGACCGACACAGCGATGAAGAAGCCGGTCACGTAGTAGAAAACCAGGGCGGCGGTGCTAGTGTGCGGGTTCTCGAAGGCCCTCCAGAGCCGCTGCCGCAGGGAGCTGCCGGCCGGCAACGCGGGCCCATCCCCGGCCTGCTCGGCCTCCTCATCCTCGGCCAGGCGCTCAGCGTTCTCCTTCTTCCGATCGCGGTACTCTTCCAGGCAGCAGTCGCCCACGAGCTCTGGGACCAGGCCGTAGAAGGCCAGCTCTTCGTCAAAGGCCTGGATGCACTCCTGGCGCGGGCAGTGCAGCCGCCCGGTGCGGTAGAAGTTCAGCACGTGCCGGAACATGTCCGGGTCTCGGTCGAAGAAGTACTCGCCAGAGTCTGCATCGTAGAAGAACTCCTTCTCCGAGCTGCCCAGCAGAGTGTCCGGGTAGCGGTCCAGCGTGTTCTTCCAGGTCTCAAAACGCCGCCCGCTGACGTTCACCACCAGAACCTCATCACCTCGAGAGGCCTTCACCCCCGGCGCTGGAGGCAGGGGCTGCTGGGCCAGGGGCAGCCAGCCCACAGCTGCCGCCCGGGCAAAAGGTAGCCACGTGGCCACGCCTGCCGCCATCTTGCCGCTCCCCAGGCCCACCGAGACTTGGGGGGTGGGTATGGGTGGCTTTTAGGCGAGTGTACCTGTATCCAGGATGGTGTGGGGGGGGGAGTTCTTGGAGAGGCCCTGGGTCACCAGGACAAGAGTACTGGGGCTGTCTAGAGAGGCCCCGAGGAACCAGGAGGAAGCACTACTGAGATAGGCAGGGGCTTGGGGAGCATTTATGAGGAACCTGGGGGATGTCTTCGGGGACCGAGAAGAGAGGGCTCAGAAAGAGGAACAGAAGAGAGATGTTTCAAAGGACTGAGAAAGGCATGAGGGTATATCTAATGAGACTGGAAGGAGGGCAGAGGGGTCAGCCTATGCCCAAGTAAGACCTGGGGATAACGCCACACTTAGTAGTTCTGGCAGCTGGAAAATGGGGCGGGAGAGAGAGCCTTAGAGGGTTTGGAGAGGGTCTTGGGGCATCCAGATGGGTTGAGATCGTCTGGGTGGAGATAAGTGTTCTAGAGGAATTGAGGAAGGTGAGGTGGGTTGTACATACCCTCGAAGCTTCTGGAGGAAGATAAGGGGTAGGAACCCCTGTGGTGTATCTCCAGATGTGGTTAAGGCGCCAGGCGTTGTAAAAAGGCTGAGAGGTGCTTTGGGAACGCCCAGAGCTGCCAAGAATAGCTTGGCCGGGGGCTAGGGGAGGTGTCTACACTCCACGGGAGTTCTGCAGGAGGAGAGGCTGGGGAAACCGCTTGTGGGGCTTGAGAAGAGTGTGGGGTCTAAAGGAGAAGATATGGGGCTGGGTTCTTTTTGAAGGAGTCTGAGAGATATCAGGAGGGAGGGGCTGGAGGCGGGGCGGGGGGGTGGGGCTGAGAAAGCCCCTCCACACTCTCAAGAGTTCTGGGAGGAGGAAAGAGGGGACTGGGGAACCCACAGAGGCTGGGACTCAGTTGGAAGGAAGTTGAGCACAGCCCCGGAGCACCAAGGAAATCTATAAAGACTAAGGAAAGGAAGGTCCCCTGCAAAGAGGGTTGGAGAGGAGGGATGGGATGTTGAAGGGAGTTTGTTGTGTCTCCAGGGCTGGGGTGGGGCGACTGCTGGGTAGGAAGCCAGCAGTGGGCTGGGGGGAGGCTGGGTAAGGCTGGGTCCCACCGGTTGGGGGCAGGTCTGGGGAAACCACACCCCGAGGGGCTGGCGGTGTGCGCTGGGCAGCAGCAATAGCAGCAGCGGCAGCAGCAGCAGCGGCGGCGGCCGGAGGAGGAGATGCACCCCCAGCCAGGCCTAAGAGAGGAGAAGGCAGGCGGCACAGACAGGGGTAGGGGGCTGGGTCCCTGGAAGGACAAGGCATACGGAACCTCTGGGGACTGTCCCAGGATGGGCTAGGGCGTGGGGGCTGGACCAGGGAAGGGCAAGGACATCGCTATTGGTGGCCCCTCCCCCTCTCCACTGGGCCGTCCTCACCTGTGTCCCCGCTGCAGCAGCGACAACAGCCCTGGGGCTGGGGTACCAGGCACGGAAGCTCCGGGTCCCCTCTGCAGAGCGGCCAGAGTTCTCCTCCTCCTCTGGCTCTCTCCTGGCCCTTCTGAGCTTGCCGGGGAGGTGGAGAGGCAGGGGAGGGGCTTTGTGGCTTTCAGAGCCCCCTCCCCTAGGACAGCCCGAGAGGGACCCTGGGGAGACTCCGCCTCCTACAATGCTGGTTGGGCCTCAGTCGCGTCATCTGGAAAATGGGGGTGGCAGGGAGTTTTGCCAGTTCTCCCCACCTCCTTCCTGGACTACTCCCCCTTCCTGCTCAACTCCTACCCCCTCTCCCCCAAGGGGCCCCCACCTCCACCCGCCTGAATCAGCAGCACTTAGCAGATCCAATCGATGGGGAGGCGTCTGTTAATGGCCCCAGAGCGGAATGCCACGGGGCATGATGCAGCGCTGTGTCCCCTCCCTGCCCCCAAGGCAGGAGGAGGACTGGAATAGTCGGGGTGTTGGGGGTTGGGGGAAGGCTGTGAAGGGGGATTTCTCCAGGTGGTCAGGATTCCACCGCTGGTGCTCTAGAGGGGTAGGTTAGAGCCCCAGCTCTCTAATGAGACTTAAGCTGTAGGACTGGAACAGGAGGCTTCTTCAGTCTTGGGATGTGAAGGGGAGGGGAGACGTGCAGATGGGGAAATCCAGGTCCCACCCCCATACCAAGTTGTCCCAGGCAGCCTCAAATCACACCTCCTTCCCCAGAACTCTCTTTCCACCTGGGTGGCAGGACCACTGGGTAGGGAGTGTCTCAGGCAGGCACCGATGGGGTTCAGACCCCAGCTCTGCCACTGACTCGCACTGTTATACCAACTTGATCATGTCGTCGGGAGCATTGAGTGAAATAGGACAGGGGGATGGCTCCCAGAGGGTGCCGAATCATTAGTAATTCTAGGTGTGTAGCAAGGCTGATCATAGCCATTGAATGGAACCTACCCACCAGTGGGACCCTCCATTTACTCACTTACCATGGCAGATGTTCTTTCTCCTATCCCTCCACCCACCCACACACCCAATTGCTCTACACATCCCTCCACCCAAACATTTGTCCATTTAGCCATAAATCCACCCACTTGATCACTCATCCGTTTGTATATTCACCCTATCCACCTTACCCTTCACCAACATATGCCTATATCCTCCATCCATCGTTTTAGCCATATCTCTACCCACTGTTTATCTACTGAATTTTTGCCATTCTCATCCATTAGCATATCCATCCATACATTCCCATCCATCCAGCTGTCCATTTATACCCCGCAACCTGTCCAACCTTTACCTATTCACATACCAACCCACCTACTTGCTCATTTATTCATCCATCCACCTAGCCATCTTAGTCCTCAATCCATCATCAGTCCCAGAAACCTTCCACTTATCAGTCCATCCAACCACTTATCCATCCTCCAACTGTCCATTCTCCCACACCCACACTGCCATTGACAGCTACCCACATATCTACAAATATTTCTGTTCCAGTCAGGGCAGAGGGGAGGAGAGTAAAGTTGCAGCCAGAGACTACCCTCCCCATTCCAATCGATTGACCCCCTCCACCAGCCCCACCCCCAGCACATCTCGCCTTGTTTGAAAGAAGGAGACCAGAGAATCAGTAGGTGGGCCTGTCTGGCCAGATGGTATTTTGGCTGCACAGCCTTTACAAACACACACATTGTGCAGATGCTGAACATGGACCGCACCTCCACCCCACATCCCCAATCCCAAATGCAGAGTAGCCAGGCTTCCAGACATAAATTAAAAAAGGAAGAAAATTGGTCTGTGGGAGGAAGAGGTCATGCAGAGAGGAAGGTAGAGGCCCCTGGAAGCCACAGCCGAGAAGAAATCCCTGCCCCTCCCTTCAGGATCCCCACTCCCCAGGGACTTCTGCCTTAAGACAGGGTCAATAACACCAGCCACGAGGCCTCCAACCTTTTTACTGTTCAGTTGCCCTACCTATTCCTTTTTGGCTGAGGGCTCCATTCCCCGCCACAGCCCAAAGGAATGGAGTCTTAGGAAGTGGGGCAGGGAAGGAACGTGCGCAGCCTTTGGATCTTTAGGTCTTTAGATGGCCTCTCCAGGCTCTAGGTCTGGATCGGGGGACCCCACACACTCCTTGCTGAGCCGCACAATTTCCTGGGACAGAACTTCCATGTCCTACGAAACAAATGAGCCGTCAAGGAGGGGGTCAGAAAACGGGTGGGGTAGGGGTCCCTCACCGAACCTAGGGTATCACCTGTGATTCACTTCCCACCTCATTAATCAATGCCCAACTCTATCTGATCTGGGACAGGAAGATACTTTAAGAAGCCCCCCAGCAGAAGGCTCAGAAAAGGTATGTCTGGTAGGTTTTTGCTCAGGGGGTACTGAATTTATGTTAATTTGGTGGTAGAAGGATCTGGAAAAGGATGGCAGTCTGGTCGCAGAACTTGGAGAATGTAATCAATATCATTGGACTGTATGTGTAGAAATTGTATGTATTGAGATAGCAGATGTTTTGCTGTATATATTTTTCACCACAATAAAGTAAAATAAAATAGAAAGAGGAGGTATGCCTAGACGTGGGGAGCCACTGGGACCATGGCTATTGAAGTGGCCTGTTTGCTTTGGTACAGTTTTGTTGGAAGATATAACCCCCATCCTCACCACTTTCGCTTCTACTAAATGACGAGCTTGCTTCTGAAAGGCAGGGATTGGGTCTGACTTCTTTCAGACTCCCCAAGAGAAGGAAGAAACACTTGGGTGGCAGGATGGAAAAGTAGGGGCATGCAGGAGGATGCATGGGAGGGACATGTGGTAGACACATGAGGAGGAAAAGGGAAGACAACAGGTAGGCAGGCCAGTCCCTAGATGGTTGAGAAAAAAGGCAGGCCAGGGGTGACTGATGACTAGATAAGGAAGAGAGAGGGGTCCGTTAGGAAATGTGGGCGAAGACATGGGGTAGATGGGAAGATTGGTCAAGAGGGTGGGCAGACATATGGGCGTGTGAATGTGTGTATGAATAAGTAGATGGAAGGGCAGAAGGAAGAATGAAAAACTAAACTAATGAGTCAGCCAATAGGAGGATAGGAGAATGAGTGGAGGAAAAGGGGTCAGTGAATGGGGAGGGGACGGAGGAGAGGCCAGGTGGGTGGGTGGGTGAATGTGGGAGAGACTGGTAGATGATCCAGTGGTTGTGGATGGACGGATCAGTTGGCTGCTAGGCCACACTTGCCTTGTGCAAGTGCATGTTCTTGGTGAGCTGTTCCTCCAGCATGTTCTGCAGCTTCTTGTTCATCTCCCGAAGGTTCTCATCGCCCGGCTTCACTAGGTCTCTTAGGACGCTGCCCAGTCCGCTGCGGTCAGTGTGGCCTGCTGCCACAGACACATCTGCAAGGACCCAGGCTGAGAACCCACCCCTCGGCAAAGCCAGAGCAGAAAAGAGGACAGAGACCAGATGAAAGAGGGAAACACGGAGCAGGGGAGAAGGGGGGAAGAAGTCACGTTATGTAGGAGGTGGAAGCTTTGGTGTGTGAAACCTGGCTCTGTGGATTACTAGCTGTGTGACCCCGAGCTCTGCCAAAAGCTGGAGCAACAGGTGACAGCATATGAAGCACACGGTACACACTCAGCCTGTGCCAGTCAGTTAGTATTCTGATTGAAAAGGGGGGGAAATAGGAAGAGAAGGGGAATGCTTGAAAGAAAGAAGTGAAAGAAACAAAATGCAGGGAAGATGGAAAGAGGAGAGAAAGTCGGAGAGGGAGGGAGAAGAGAGGAAGGACAATAGGAAGAAGAGGTAAGGGCACAAAAAGGGGAGACACATGCCAAGAATGACCATTCATGGAGACAGGACAATATAGAGGACAAATAGGAACAGAGAGCTAAGATGAAGCAGGGGAAAGGCACAGGGGGAGAGAGAAGCCAAGGTACACAGAGAAGGAAGGAGAAAGAAGGACAAGGGCAGAAGTAGAGAAGGGAGAGGGAGAGGGAAAAGGAAGAGAGTGGGAGAGGGAGAGAGAGGATGAGGGAGCTACAGAGGGGATGGAGGTGACAAGACAGGGTAAGCAGAGAGAAAGACACAGACACAGGCTGTTCCCTGCACCAGTGTCAGTAATTTTACTGAGTTCCAAGAGGTGAGAAAGACAGAAGATGCACAGAACAATACCAAGGGAGGGGGAGCAAAGTAAGAGGGATGGGTGAGAGGTGAGGCCTGAGAGGGGGGCACTGACCAATCCGGCTGTCCATGACATAGGTTTCAATGATGGCGCTCTTCCGGCAGAGGTCCTCTGCCATGGAGGCACTGCTCACCTCCAGGTGCTTCACCTGCAAGACGGCCCAGTCCACCTCACACCCCCTCAACCACACCAGCTCACACCTGGGGAGGGGGCTGGCAGATCCCGACCCACCCCTCAGGGGCACTCCACGTGAGACAAGCCAGCAGGGAGACAGCACCTTCTCCTCCAGCATCCATTTCTCCTGTTGTGTCTCTGCCAGCCGTTGAAAGAGCTCAGCCACTTCCTCGTCCGAGAGCTCTGCTGGCCGAGGAGGCTGGGCCTGAGGGCTGTTAGACAAAGACTGTAGGAAAGAAGAGAAGAGAGGTCTGTCCCAGGCCCAGGACTGATGGGCTGAGAAGAACCAGACTAGGGGTCAAGTGAGGAAAGGGCAGGGCTGTAGGCAGGTCTTGGCACCTTCAGAAACTTTCTATCCCCCTTTGGCTGAAGGAGGGGATTGGGGAAGCCTCGCTGCTATCCAGTCAATTCTAACTCATAGCAACCCTGTAAGACAGTGTAGAACTGACCCTGTGGGTTCCGAGACTGTTAACTGTTTACAGGACTAGAAAGCTCCATCTTTATCCCTCAGTGCAGCTGGTGGCATTGAACAACTGATCTTGCAGTTGGCAATCCAACACATAACCACTATGCCATCAGGGCTCTAAAGGGAAAGAGGTTATAACTAACATACAGCATTGCTGAGATGATAGAGAGAAACTCTGGAGCAAATAAGATCCAGCTTCTACCTAACAAGCAAGGGGAAAAGGGAACAAGCTAAATGACACAAAAGGAAGCAAGCGGTGTCTTTAACAAGTTGGTGTCATGAAAAAGAAAAAAAAAAGGACCACATTAGATTAAAGAGAGACTTATGGAACATAAGACAACCAGATGTAACACATGCTCTGAAACTGGATGCTGGTTTTCATCAAACCAGCTATAAAGGACACTTGGGGACCAAGTAGATAAATTTGATGAAGGTCAAAAAGTACTAGATGACATGAAAAAAAAATTTATAAATTATCAAGGGTTCATGAGAGAGGGAGGGTAGAGGAGGGAGGGAAAAAGTGAGGAGCTGATACCAAGGGCTCAAGTAGAAAGAAAATGTTTTGAACATGATGATGACAACAAATATACAAATGGATTGTGATAAGAGATGTATGAGCCCTCAGTAAAATTATATTTTTTAAGTACTAGATAAAAATTTACCAAATTTGGAAAGTAGAAATCAGTGGAACAAAAGCAGGTTACATATGTTCAACAATAAAATGTATATATTCCCAGGGCCACTGCCATCCAGTCAACTCTTAGAGAGGGTTTCTGAAGCTGTAAAAATTTTCGGACACAAGAGAGCTTCATTCTTCTCCCAAAGTGTGGCTGGTGGGTCTGAAATGCCAATCTTAAGATTAGCAGTCCAATGGATGAATATGGATATATATATATATACACACACACACACACACACACATATATGAGGGGAACCCCCCCCATAAAAAAAGCTCCACTGGGCAGAGCTTTCATAGTACATATGTGTTTTTTCCGCTAGGTGAACATTGAGCAATTCGCTATGAGTTAGTGCACCCAGTGGCATCACCTGGGAAGGTTCTCTCTTGTCGCAGTGTGTTTTTTTATAAAAGCAGTTTTGTTTGAGCCTCATTTTTTGTGATGGCCGATTTAAAAGAATAGCATGCGGCTACGAAATTTTGTCTCCTGCTCAGGAAAAATGCCGCAGAAACTGTTGTGCTGTTGAACACAGCGTACAAGGATGGAAAACTCAAGTGTACTAGTGTACACTTCAAAAAAGGCGAAATATCCATTGATGGCAAACCTCATTCTGGATGCCCATCAACTTCCCAAATGGACAAAAATTTTGTCCATTGTCAACGAATTTTGTGTACTTGTGCTTGAAGACTGCCTACGGACCATTGAAGAGATGGGAAGTTACCTGGACTATCTTGGGGTTCAACGAATTTTACTGGAAGATTTGGGAATAAGAAGAGTCGCTGTGAAATTTGTGCCTCAGGTTCTGACTGACCAGGAAAAAGAGCATTTAACGAGAAATATGCCGTGCTTTGAAAGAACAGCTTTGAAGCAACCCAGACTTTTTCCCCAAGGTCATTACTGGTGACAAGACATGGTGCTATTCTTATGACCCCCGAAAGCAAACATCAATCAAGCCAGTGGAAGATGCCATTGTTGCCTCATCCCCCCAAAAGCTCGTCAAGTGGAATCAAAGATCAAGAAGATGCTCATTTGTTTTTCTGATGTGAAGGGGATAAT